TACAGTACTCTCACATTGCTTTTGTAACTCATCTACTGGCGCTGAGCAAATCAATAACTTCTATAACTCTATTCAATAACATTAAAGATCCTATAGAGAGCCATTGGGAGTACATCAAATATTTTAAAAATGCATACCGTGAATGAACTCTTGCAAAGAATGCATGAAGATTGATCTGGGAGATCAAGAAGCAACACAGCAATAAAAAGAGAAAAAAAATGTACACAGATATCAGTACTAAACTAAAAGAAGTTTTCCAGAAAGATTTAAAAAGTGTTTGGAGGGTATCACAACAATGAAGTGCATGCCTGTATTATTATTATTACTAAAATATCAATAATGTAAAATGTTAATTTGCTTATAACTTTTTCTGCTGCGATTTCTTGGAACAGAGAATTCTAATTCACTGGAACACTAATTACTGGAACATGATGCCTATCATTTCTGTACAAACGGCTCCCCAGGCTGCAAGTGGATAGTATACAAAAGTTAGCAGGCCCTGTAGTCATATAAAAGAGACATGGTGTGGTCTCATCCATGGTCTACTCACGTTTTATCAGCCTTCTAATCAGTGCAGGAAAAACTCAAATGAACAGCTGTGCAGTTTTAAAAGTGTCACTCAAGGAGTATGTGAAATTCTTCAGCTGAGTGGGGCGTCCTGCATCGCCAGGCTGTTTTCCGTAAAATATGTGAGCGTTACTTCCATCTGCTGTTACTCTTAGCTTTCTCTCGGTCTGAACTTTTTCATTTGCTTTTGCCCAAGCATATTTTTCTAATGTTGTAATTGGCTTTGAGCTCTCTTTACATGTTACGTCACAAAGGAAATCTTGCCTCTAAACAGATGGTTGTACTGTACGTTGACCCCATCTATACTATAAGAATGCATCATAAAGAAAATGTAGCCTCTACTGCTCTAGAGGATCACTGTACAGAAATGTGACTCCTGGAAATGTAAATATAAGAGAAGTGCACCAATCTAGTGCAAGGAAATTCAGATATTTATTTGGAACAAGTACAGCGATGATATACACAGCAAGTATGTCAGTTGGCAGGATGGAAATCGTCCAAAGCAATGCATTTTGAGGGTTAACACCACTCCAAAACCATCTGATCATGTAACGTAGCAGAAGTACAACGAAAATTAGTCGAAAACACAGCATCCAATGAGACAGTTCTTCCAAATCACCACAGATGGAAAAGGTTGACGTGCTTAAGGCAAACCGGGAAGAATCTTCACAAACATGTAAAACAAAAAACCAGACAGCGCCCTCTCCTAGTGTAAAATCGATCTGACATAAAAACTACTCACATAGCGATGAGCAAATCATAGGCAAACAAAATCCCACAATCAAAGTGCTGACGCGTTTCAAAGGAGCCTTCCCCTTACTCAGAGCTATTATGTTACAAAAATAGTGAGAATATATATACACATGTACAAGAGCTACATAGTCCGGAGGGTTTAGCAGCAGTACAGTATATACACCATATAACAGCGTGGATCAATGCTTAGTACACTGTTAATTTCTATACAGTAAGGTCTCTTTCACATGTGCGGCAAAACCAGGCGTTGGAGAAGCGTTTTTTAATGCCTCTCTACCGCCTATTAACGTCCATGTGTGATAAAACAATAGCAACTGCCCAGTACAGTTCACACATGGGCGTCAGCTTTGCGTCGCGGGAAAAAATAGATTGCATGTGACGTTCTGGAGGTATTGCCGCTGGAATAATGCCTCCATAGAAGTCTATTGAACCGCCTTTGAAACACTTGTTCAACGCTCTCTAGAGCGTCAACAAGTCAGTAAACAAGCGTTTCACAGACGGTTTTGCAAAAGTTAAATAGTTTTAAAAAAATGTGCGTGGGTTTCCTCCTAAAAGTCATACCAGGCCCTTTAGATCTGGTAGGAATTTTAAGGGGGAACGTGGGGTCCCCCCTATAATTCCTACCAGACCCTTGATCCGAGGGGCAGTCTATATACTACCAGACCATGTGTAACAATAATTGTTACATCTGTATCATTTCTTCCTTTTTCAGTACGCTTACATCATGACAGCAAATATACATTTTTATAAAAGTATAAATAGCTGTTTATTGTAAAACAATCATTCCAATTTTGAGACCCAAGTCCATCAGGTACCTATGTGGAAGGCTGGTGTTATCGAAGGCAGTCTGTCACATACATTGGGTAGCCCCCCTGGAGCTGCAACAGGCAGCCCTCAAGCAGCAGAAGTGCTACCACGAGTGGCCATAGATGTTGTTGGAACAGTCTATGCAGGCAATAGTGGGGTAAAAAGAAAGATGTACACAGGGGTGTCCCTAGACTATTCATAGCCTGAGGCCAGGGGGGAAGGGGCGTATTGGGCGTTGCTGATGCCAGGAAGGGGGGACTGTGTGCTATTGGTGCAGGGGGTGTTATGAGGGGGAACTACTACTACTACAATAATAATAAACACTTGCAAGGGAGTATAAAAAAAGAATTGTTAAATCAGAACTAAACTCCGAAACAAAAATTGCTAGGAGGTAGGGATTTTTGGGAAAAGAGACATGCACAGTCAGAACAATTAAGATTGGCGGTTGTTCAGGAATGCAAATTAGTACATGTGACAGCTTACTTTGGTGCAGCACATATCTAATAAATTATTATGATGTAGCACATATAGTTTTTTTTTTGTCATGTAGCACCCCCTTACCCTCTGGAGGCTATTAGAGCCCCCCAGAGGTCAGGTGAACTGACATCTCACCTCAGGGTAGAGTGCTTGACTTTTAGTGGGGTTGTTAACAGATAAGCGCTAGGCAATTCAGAGTCAACATTTTGAGTTTATTTGCCACCATAGACTTAGGGAGAGAGTGTTAAGGCTCAGGACACCCAAAGCAGTAAAATCATACTCACAGTCTTCACAGTTCTAGGACCTTGAAGCCACACTGGCATCTTGTGATTAGAGACACTTGGTTGTTGTGATCAATGCAACTTCATTGCCGAGGGTAAGACACCAACTTCCTGTAAATTCCAAGTCCTCCTCATGTAAACCAGGTTTAAATGCAACTGAAGCGAAAACTTATTTTTTTCTTTTTTTTAAAGTTTTGGATAGAGTAGAGAGGGATAAGAACATCTGTCGGGTTTTTATGTTTGGCTTTGTCCCCATAAAGGAGTTTCATCAACTCTATTGTCGTGAGGACCGTTATCACTGAAAATGAAAGAAAATACCAAATTTGGGTTTTCACCAGAACAGGAATAAATCTTCCAATGGGGATACTGATCCTGCTGACCACCCAGAGTTTTTCCTCACCTTGGGGGGATTTCCTCTTCCTGTTGTGGCCATCGGACAGAAAGTGAAGGGAAATTACTCCAATGAGGCACAGATGGCAAAAAATGACAGGGGTTATAATCCCCCCTGACTCTATCCAAAACTAAAAGCTCTGCTCCTCCTGTAGAAACTCCTCCCACATGGCCATGGCAACCTAGGCCCCAGACTCAGGTCTTCATTCAACAGCACATGTTTGCCCCTTCTAGACAGCAGGCCAAGGAAGACATAAATATTCCTAAGCCAGCATTATTGTAGGTTCTTGCTGTATTGCTTCAGACATGCCCTACCCCCACCAAGTGGCGGGCAGAAGCCTTCTCGGCATCAGTAAGATGCTGGGAATGGAGCTGGGTGCTAGTGTAACTCCTGTGTACATGCAGTCCTAAAGGGCTCATGTATACAACCTTCAATGAGGCCCCCGTCTGCATCATACTGTGGTTGTGATTTTTTGAACGCTGTGTAGGACTACCCAATTCAATAAGCAGAGGGGGCGAGGGCTAAGCGAGGGATAATGGTGTGAACCTGCCCGCAGTTCCAGTGCATTCTGGAACGGACTGCGCTGGTGTGAACAGAGGCCAGAAATAACATAGGGATATATTAGGATGCAAAAAGTGATGTGATCAAGAAAGATCAGATCAAAGAATAGTGTAATGAGGGTCGGAATGCTTGATGTAGTACAAAAGTATGAATTTTATTTAATGCAATTAAAATATGGGTCACAAAATGTAGTTTCATCACTGTGTTTTTGTGGTGTGCTCTAAAAAAAGTATGGCATGTGGTAACTTTATTTCAGTGCAGCATGGGGCGATGTGATATAACTGCATCACATACTCAATTTAACCCCTTCGTGACTGACGACGTACAGTGTACGTCGCCGGCATCGGGGCTGTTTAAACAGACTCCCGGTGACTTTTGCCGCCGGGACTCTGTTTAAACTTGTAGAGCCGACTGTCGGCTTTACAACAGAAGCGATCCTGGCGACTTACCTGTCGCCAGATCGCTTCTGCGTCCCGAAGAAGGGGCCGCCCCCCCATAAAAAAATGGGTATTTTGTTGTGGTTTGGGGCATTTAATTAAATTTTTCACTAAATATTGGGGTTTAATAAGGAGTTGCGCTAATATTGCGCAACATAAAAATTTGCAACTACCACCATTTTATTCTATAGGGTCTTGGCATTCAGAAAATATATAATGTTGGGGGGTTTTAAGTAATTTTCAGGCCTAAAATGTGGAATATAACATGGGTACAAAAAAATGAAAAAAAGGCCTCAGTCATGAAGGGGTTAAAGCAAGTTGAAATGAATGTGTATGTATACCAAAAAACATTTTCTTCAGTTTTGGATAGATCACAGAAAGGTGATCCCCTTATTAGTAGTCCCTATGTGATAGCAAAAAGGGTTTACAAAGATCAATCTACAAGTGAGTCAATGTAAAAGTATTCTATCCTTCATTATTATATATGGGCTAAGATATGTATCCCGAACAACATGCTCGGCACGCACAGAAGTACTGCCCGGAACAGAGCGAAGCCACGCCCTTCTACTAGGCGCATCACTTCCAGCAGAGAAAGGGTTATGGCTGCAGGGGCGTGAAGAAGCAACATCCGCCCAGTTGTTGTTGGATTGCGTCACTTCCGGGCTATTGTATCGCTTCCGGGTTGTTCTTTCTACGTAGAAGCGAGTAGATTTTGTGTCGTCTCTCGGTGGGTGGTGTGTCCGGTGAGTGAGCCTTACAGAGGGGAAATATAAGGACATCTATGTATATAACTGTGTCGTTTGGCTATATATACGTGTGTGTGTATACATAACAAGTCTTCCTACATGAGGGTCACTGCTCCTATCAACCTCTATTGGTACATCACATGTAAACATATACACATTGTTGTATACCAGACCTTTGACTGCACCTCTATTGTGCCAAGAATCATGCTGCTGGCGCCGGGGAAGTATTCCAGGAGAATATCGGCTTCACAAGTATTAAAGTGTATGTATAGGCAGGCACAACCTTTTGTTTTGGATAGTGTAGCAAGGGTTAAAACTGTCAGGTTATATTTTTGCTGTCTGTGTACCATTGAGGAAGTTTCACTTCACCTCCTGTCCCAGAGACACAACAGGTAGTTAGGGGAAATCTCTGAAAGTTAAGGGAATCGACCTCTTAGGCCAGGGGCAGGCAACTTCAGCTGTTGTGGAGCTACACGTCTCATGATTCCCAGAGTCAGAGGAATGATTGGATTTGTAGTTTTAGTATAGATGGAGTGCTGAGTTTGCCTATCCCTGCCTTAGAGAGTTCTCCCTATAGCAAGCATTAGATAAAGTTTAAAAATAAACTCAGGGAAAAATAATTTGTAACCCCTGCAATGGGATTACCCTGCAGTGCAAGGGTTAAGTGCTTGTTTTCAACTAGGGTGTAACATAAAGTTATACTCACTCGATCCTCACAGCTGGCTGACAGAGCGCTCCCTCTAGCCTCTCTCCTCCTCCTACACTGTGTCATTAGAATGGCATACACAGTGTATATGACGTGATGACTCACAGGCCCTTAGATGCCAGAATGGGGGGGGGTGGAGAGGCTGCTGGGACCGGTCAAACAGCCAGCTAGCTGTGAGCTTCAGGTGAGTATAACTTTATTTTACACCCTAGATGAAAACAAGCATATAACCCTTGCAGTGCGGGGGTAGCCCCACTGCAAGGGTTAAGAACCTTTTTTCCCGAAGTTCTTCTTTAAATCCCCGTTCACACCTTTTGTGATTGTCCATGCATTTGCTGATGTATGAAAACACAGACGAGGATTACCGTTATTTTCTGTTGGGTCCAGGAAATTGCTGCTTGACCCCGGTGACCACCAGTACAAGATAGTGGCAAGCAAAAGAAGGCCAGAGAGGATATTGGCCGTAAAGTATATCAAGATTGGGATGAGAAATGCCACAAAGATGTCATAGCTGGTATGACTCAAGATAGCTCTGATAGAACAACAACATGTCGCAACACAACGCAGAAAAACCAGGAAGCAGATACAACAAAGGCGATGCCTAATGTTAGAGGATTCAGCTTTTCATTGGCTTATTTAAAAAGGCATAATGCATGAAAAATGCATACAACATGCGTTACCAGGTGTGAAAAACACGTATTAATGCTCAAAAAAATGAAAATGCAGACTTACTAGTGTCACACTGGGCTAAAGCAGAACTCGGGGCAAGGATAAAACAATTTAAATTGTGCCCCCTTCCCCTGGTGAAGCAGGTTATAATATGTTTTATTCTAAGGGATGACTTAAAGCAATGGATTACTTACTCTATGGTCCTTGGGACAGACAGCAGTCTGTTTCTCTGCTCATCAGCACTAGTATGTTGGCGGGCACTCATACCTTATCAGATACTGTACAGGACCAGGTCCCACATTGTTTACAATGAAGTTGTTGGGAGGTGCGGTGACAATACCGTTTATAGACTGGAATAAAGAGTGGGAATAGTCATCACTATCAGAAATGTAGGGAGCACTAGAACGTACAGAGGTGTATGGATAAGCTCACTTTGCAAAGTGTGATGTTGATTCAGATGCTGACTGGCAGTTCTGTGTGTATATCAGGTTAGAGTATACCATTCATGTTTGATGCTCCGCTAAGTTCCTTTGGTTTCATTGTATGTCTGAATTAATCAGTGTTGGTTTTACTGCTAAGCATTTTGGGATTCTTTTTTTGTTTTAGAGAATTACTCCAAGATGTCGGGAGGCACAGTCCTTGTTGCGCCGGGTGAATCTTCTGGCATGGAGGAGCCAAAAAAGATGACCAGGGAAGACTGGAGAAAGAAAAAGGAACTTGAAGAACAGCGGAAGTTGGGTAATGCCCCGGCTGAAGTGGATGAAGAAGGAAAGTAAGTATTTTATGAAAACCTTTATTTGTTTGCAAGTACGCTTATAGTACCAGTACTACCCCCTTATACACTTATCCTTGACCAGTACTACCCCCTTATACACTTATCCTTGACCAGTACTACCCCCCTTATACACTTATCCTTGACCAGTACTACCCCCTTATACACTTATCCTTGACCAGTACTACCCCCCTTATACACTTATCCTTGACCAGTACTACCCCCCTTATACACTTATCCTTGACCAGTACTACCCCCCCTTATACACTTTTCCTTGACCAGTACTCCCCCCCCTTATACACTTATCCTTGACCAGTACTACCCCCCCTTATACACTTCTACTTTAACAGCACTACCCTCCTATGTTATCTTAGGGTTCATGCACATGGGTAAACAATTTGCTGCATTTAGATCTGTCAATCTGTCACTTCTATAGATCAGAATGCAGCAGTATCATATGCTATGGACCCATACACACTGCTTTGCTTTGGTCCGCAGCATTTAGCTGGATAAATCAAAACTACATTCACGGTCTTGCGTTTGGAATGTATTTTATATTGTACTTTTACTTCTCCCCTGCCTAGTGAATCACTCGAATAAGTCATTCACTAAGCAGCACCGCTATAAATAGTAATGAGCGGCGCTGCTGTTGCCACTATTTTGTTTACATGTCAGCTTTGAATCAGTCTTTCATGCGGCAGTGGTGTGTGCACAGAATGACCTCGGGCTTCAGCCATTTTGTGTATGCTCTGTTGCCACGAGACGCATTTAGGGCCAACATGTTAACAATAGTGTGTAATCATCAGGTGCCACCACCACCACTGCCCATTACACTCTATTTATGTCAGCCCTGCCTAGTAAATTACTTATTCAAGTCATTCACTAGTCAGCAGAGAAGTGAAGGCCATACGCATCTAAGTTCATACGCACATAAGCTAGTATATGTCCATATGAGTTCAGATGCCATGGACAACTTGATGCCAGCAATGGTATACGGACACCTTCATGAGGCAAGAAGCAACCCTTTGAAACACACTCATTCATTCTTGTTTAAAAAAAAAAACATTGGTTTTGCTCTGCATGCTGTCAATGGCTTACAATGAAATGTCTATGAGTAAGACTACTGTATGTGTAACCTTACCATCTCATGTGCTGGATGTGATCTATTGACCTTTATGCTGATAAAACTGGTTGTGAAAAATAACCCTCTGCTTTTTTATGTATTTTTTAGGGACATCAACCCTCACATCCCTCAGTATATTTCCTCAGTCCCCTGGTATGTAGATCCTTCCAAAAGGCCAACTCTGAAGCACCAGAGGCCCCAGGATGAGAAGCAGAAAGAGTACACACTATTGGGGGAATGGTTCAGAAAAGGAGTTAAGGAGGTGAATAGAAAGTATTATATTACTTAATCATAAATATGCTGTAATATCTGAACAAATGAAATAACGATTATTTATTTTAAGGGGATAATTGCAACAAAATATCGGCAGGGAGCTTGTGACAACTGTGGCTCTATGACACATAAGAGGAAGGACTGTTTTGAGGTTAGTGCCCTATTTTGTATTTATGACAATAATTGGATTAATTATAAAGCTTTTTTCTCCTTCCGTTCTTAGATGTTCCCTATAGATTTGTTTAACCCTACATCACTGGCAGTGCCGGCATGTAAACAATCTCCCAGTTGCTGGATTTCTAGTAAAAAAACTGATCTACATGCTCAGAAACATATAACGATTAGGCCCCACATATAAGGGCCATCATTCACTGATGACTCTAAATTGATGAGCTATTAAAGCTTTTAAAGCATCACCAATGGACCATTTTGGGTACCATAGTGTTTTGCCGTTTCATGAGCATGTGCAAATTTGATGCTTGACATATTTGGCATCTAGTTACCCGACAGAACGTCATCTTCTATATTTTACAAAAAATGGGTGTTATGTTGTGTCTATGTGCACTAAAAATATTTTTAATGTGTATTTTTTTGTAATGAAAATATGGTTTAAACATTTGCGCTAATGTTGTGTGTCATAAAAAATTGCAACTACCACCATTTTATTATAAGGGATGTCTACTTTCGGGAAGTATACTATTTGCGAGTTAAGTAAAATTCAGGTCTAAAATGTGCATTTTTTTTAACGTGTATTACAAAAAAAAAATTGTGGCAGTAAAAGGGTTAAAGGGCAATTACAATGTTTTCCACATAGCACAGGGCTCGACAAATCCCATGCGCCAGGTCGCCAATGCAACTAGAAATTGTGTTCTGGCGCCTGGACTTTGTCAGCCCATTCACTGTGCCTCTTTCTTCTCCCACTGCCGCCTCAATAACTGTTCCGTTCTCCTCCTCACTCTCAGTGGTCGGACAGCGGTCTCTGCTCAAAGGCTGTCATTGGCTACAGGGATCTGTGTCACAGGGGACACAGATCGCTGTAGCCGATGACAGCCTGTGAGGAGAGACCGCTGACAGTCTGAGTCTGCAGTGAGGAGAACGGCAGAGTGATTGTGGCAGCAGTGGGAAAAGAAATGGAGGTGCAGTTCTCCCGTGCCCCCAAACCACCAATAGCCTGCTCTGCTGATTGACAGCAGGCAGTGGTGGGTGCAATATAAAAATTGGGAGAGTTGTCCCTAGATGCAGCGCTGCCACAAGGGTCTGGGTAGGAATGATGGGTGTGCTGCTTCTTGTAGATGCGGACCGGGGTGTCTGTCGTTTGCCAAGGGGATCAAAGAAAAGGGGGAGTACAGAAGCACTACTACCATAAATAAACTGAATAGAGATGGCCAACTTACCAGTGGATGGATCACCCGCCGCCTGTCAGCAAGTGCTACACTCCCCACCCCCGAATCTGTATTCCCCCTTTTCTTTGAGTGGGGTGTGCAATAGCCAGCCTGCTATTAGCTACTGCAATTTAAAATAGCCAATAGCAGGTTCGCTGTTGCTCCTAGCCACTGCCTGCTGTGTTTACATTTAGCTTCCTCAGCAGGCAGCTTTCATTCCCCAGATAAAGCCTATAGAAGTGGAAAGGTAACACTAGGGGTCTAATAGAAAACCTGTCCTGTCCAAATAGGTAAAAAAAACAAACTAAAGTCGCCCGTCCCCCACAGAATTTTATGTTTGTCCAATGACTCAAAAGGATGAGGGTTTATCCTCTGTGTTGTGTACTTGCACTAGGCTTTTACACGAGAACCTCATTCACCAGCACGTTTGCTTTCTGAACTTTTGGGATATTTTGTTTGCTTTGCAGAGACCTCGTAAAGTTGGAGCCAAATTCAACGGTATGAATATCGCTCCAGATGAGCATGAGCAACCACAGCTTATGTTGGATTATGATGGCAAGAGAGACCGGTGGAATGGCTATAACCCAGAAGAACACCAGAAGATAGTAGAAGAGCATGCCAAAGTGGACTTGGTATGTCATTATTGTTTTTCATACAGTAAGGGGCTTCTTTTAACCAGGTGTTTATACCCCCTTCCTGTCCAGGCCATTTTTCAGTATTCAGCGCTGCAGTACTTTGACATTTATTCCGTCATGCAACGCTGTACTGAAATGAATTTTATACCATTTTTGGGCACAGACAGAGCTTTCTTTTGGTGGTATTTAATCAACACTACGTTTTTTTTTTTAACTATATAATGAAAAAAGTAACGAAAATTTTGAAAAAAAACCTGTTCTCCCTACGTTATGTTATAAAACATTTATTGTTACCCAGTTTTTTTGTAAAATATAAAAGACGGGGTCACGTCGGGTAAATAGACACCAAACATGTCAAGCTTTAACATTGCGTGCACCCGCTAAATCGCAAAAAACTACCATACCCTAAATTGGCCATAGCCGACGCTTTAAAAGCTTTTACCGCTCATCAGTTTAGTGTTATCAGTGATTAATGGCCCTAGAATTATTGCTCTCACTCCGACATTCGGGGCAATATGTAACATGTGCGGCGCAATGGATGCAATTGCCGTTTTCGCACGTAGGCGGACTCGACGCATGTTTGCGCGTGCATGTGGGGGCGGGGGACTTTAAATTTTTTATTGCTTTGATATGTGACTTCATTTTTTATTATTTTTTGGAACTAATTTTTTTTAAACTTTTTTTTTTTTTTTTCACTGAACTTTATTGCTATCACATAGGGAGCAAACAAGCTCCCTATGTGATAGCCAATTTGCAGTGACAGGTCCTCTTTATGGAGACATCAGGTGTCTTTAAGACCCCTAATGTCACCTAGGGACCCCCAAAGAAGCTGATGAAGCAGAGACCTGCTTCACTAGCTTCTCTCCGGTTTCTGTACCGGAGAGTGACAGAGGAATGTGGAAGTGATGTAATACACATCACTTCCTGCATTCCGACGAGGAGGAGATAAAACGGAGCTCGTGTACTGAGCTCCGTTTGATCTCCGGCTGCAGGGCTGCTGTGCTGGTCCCGGGCTCACACCGGGAACAGCGGAGCTCGGGGACGCCTGACCGCCTGTATGTAAACAGCCATCGCTGGCTGTTTACATTGAAAGCCGATTTCCCGTTCGTGCACGACTCCTAGCGGTGGGCACGAGCGGGGCGGGATGGGACATTTAAAAACGCCCACCCGCATTCAAGAAGCCGCTCTCTGGTCGTTTAATTACAACGGCCGGACAGCAGGTGGTTAAAAAGCAGTGATATTAGATTTTATATATTTTTTACTGAACATATAGATGTGTTAAACAGATTTATTGCACTACTACCTTCATGTTATTCGATCAATTCCAATGGTAGTCACTGCACACCATCCAGGGAGTATGTGCCCGGGTGCACAGCTGCAAAATAACATCTGAAGATAAATTGAAAGTAGAGGCACTCACGGGTCTTGAGCTGGAGTGTATGTCCAAACAGGAGTTACTTAGTCCACAGTTTCATTGTATTTGAAGGCCTTGACAAAGATCGTCTGCGATCCATTGAAACGTTTACAGAATAAACTCCTTCCTGTTTGAACATACACTCCTAATCTAGACCGGTAAGTGCCTCCACTACTTTCTATATGTTGCATTTGACAGGTCCTATGTTTTCCGAAAATATATAATCTTTTGGGGATTTTAAGTCATTTTTAGAAAGTTTTTGTTTTTTACCCAAGGCAATAAGCAGTTAGCCCTAGCAGTGTGGGGGGTAGTCCCACTGCAAGGGTTAATAAGATTTCTGCCTGGCATTCTTCTTTACTCCACAAATTAACATTTTAACATAGAAGAACAACAGCAGAAAAATACCAAGTGGTCACCTGAGTCTGCCCCCCCCCCCCCTTTTTTTCTTTTCATTTATATTTTTAACCTTTTTTTTTGGTCTAAGTGATCTATATAGATTTGCCCCAAGTATGTTTACATTAATTTACTGTTGGCTGGTGTACTACTTCTACTGGAAGTCTGTTTCAAGCATCTTCTACTGTTTCGGCAGTATAATACTTTCTAAGGTTAGTTTTGAACTTTCCTTGTTTTAGGATCATGTCCCTGTGTTCTTGATCTTGGCTTTGAAAATACTGCACTCCTGAACCCTATCCACAGCCTTAATGTGTTTAAAGGTTTCGGTCATGTCCCCCTTTTCTATGTTAAAAAAAAAAAAAAGTCCACTAGTGAAAGAGTTAAAATGAACCATTCGTCATGATGAGTCTCAGCTGCAGGTGAAACTATGTGTCCTTCTTTTAGGCAAAACGTACATTGAAGGCTCAGAAACTGCAGGAGGAGCTGGCATCAGGAAAGCTTTCAGAACAAGTTGTAAGTGTTTGTTTTATCATGGGCGGTCATTTGTGTAATGTTTGCTGTGTAACCAACATGCTTAAACCAATAAGTACACATCATCTGTGACTTTCCATAAATCACATTATGTGCAAAGTCAACTTGCGTGATACCAGTGAGGATGTTTTAGCAGTGAGAAAATGTCAAGCTCAGAAAGGTCTAAAGGTATTAATCACATGAAGCACAAGTCTAGCCAAAACATTTTTTTAAAAAGATCTCCGGGAAATGTTTTAATTTTCCCTTGCGGTGCAAGGGTTAAGTGCTCATTTGTGTCCAAGTAAAAAAAAAAAAGATGGACTCACCTGAAGCTCCAAGCCGGCTTCTTAGACCTTTACCTGGAGCCTCTCTCCTCCTCTGCAGCAGTCTAAGGTCCCATAAATCATCACGTCTATACACAGTGTATAGATGTGAGGACGGTGAAGAAGATTACAATGCTGCAAGGAGGGGGAGACAGGCTTGAAGGAGCACTGTAACAGCTTGCCGGATAGCACTTAACCCTTGCTGTGCAGGGGTAGCTCCATTTACTAGGGTGAATAAAAAAATATTCCTGGAGTCTTAAGTGGAAGAAAGCTTTGAATTTCCGTCATGTTTGTATTGCTGTCTGTCTTTTCTGGGGAGATCTGCCCCGTGGTATAGGAAGACACTTGCAGAGATTCTAACCTTTACCCACTCTACTAAAGAAAATATTTTGATGCTCTGTCTGGTTACACTGGAGGAACGTCCCACCACTTCTTGTCCCTGTGACACCCTGGCTTGAAGACAGGAAGTGAGGGGAAGTCTCTTCAATGGGCAAACAGATGGCATTTTAAGCCTGACGCAGATTTTAACCCTTTCCCTTCTGTCCAAATCTGAAGAGAAAAAAAAGCAAGAGTTGGGCTTTAATTTTTCATGTTATCTAGTTAGTTTTATATGTGCTGAATTACACTCATTGTTACCTTTTTGTTTTTTTTCTAATAATAGGAAATAATTACACGTTTGATCCACTTTTGCTATGTATATTCACATCTGTATTCCAGCATAGTTCTCAATTATCCTGGTGTTGAAATGTGTACGGTACAAGGTGGTATAGATTGTGTATGTGTGTGAGAGAGCCCTATCCTGTCAAGTATAATATAATTTCCCACCTGTTAGGTTTTTCTGAGCAGCATGTATGTGGTATTTATACCATTGCTGTTTACATGCTGGTTTACTAGAAGTTATCTTAACTAACTGAAGTGGGGTCTCTGACATCTCTTGGGCCCTGATACAAGAAATACATTTCATAGATTTTGGCTACTTGCAGCATACAGTATATCATGAATAAGTGGTGATCCTAGAATCTTCTGCAGTATAGGTGGTTACCTGGACTCACAGGCCATAAGGGCCTTTGGATCTCTTTTATATTACAGCTGCAACCTCTTTAACCCTATAAATACTATATTGTTTACCTTCCTCAATAGAGCAATTATTCTGTTTTTCTCTAAGCTTGACTGTATTTTCTTTTGTCACCCAAGTTGCTTTCTTTACTCCAGAGTTCTCCAAGACACCAGTGGGGAGAAGAGGAACAGAATGCTCAGAACGTAAGCTGTTTTATTCTGCCGCAACTTACTCCATTGCACAACACATTAGCTTTTTCTATTTAGTTACTATTTATACTTTGCACGTCATGATGGTCATAAATTTGCATTACCTTTTATTTACGGTTCACACAGTCTCCATGAATTGGGTGGATTTGCTACTTCAAGGAAATGTTCCCTAATGAATGATTATTGCGCCTGCAGCAGATCTTACAGTTTTCAGGTAGCTCCTGGCAGGACCCCTGTGGTTGGAGAAGAGAGCTCTCCACTGGGGGGTGATCAGCTTTGCTTGCTTGCCCAGGTGAAGATGGGGAACTCTGTCAGGGAAATCTCAATTTTGGATTGTCCAAAATATACCATTTAGCATCTCTCTACAGTTTGCTCAGGTAAGATTTGTAAATGAGACAGAGAAGCTGATTGATTTGCAGGGCAAATCTGCTCCAGATTTTGTCTGCTCCAGTTTTGATAAATTGCCCCTTCAATCTTTAAAAATCATATACTATGTATGCATGCAGCAAAAGCAGTATAGACAGCTTTGTCATGTAACTAAACCTTTAGTGCATAATATATCGGTTTTTCTTTGCATTCTAAAAGCTGTGCTATATTTCAGTAAATAGACAATGAGTTATGGGCTTTGTCTTTTAGTTATGTTAGGACATCATCTCACCAAAGGAGTACAATATGTTAAAGCTTTTCTTGACAACTCACACCCACTAGCTAAAAGACTGCAGCTTTTTATGAGGAACCATCACTTGGCTTATGGCAGCCAAACTGATATTTTAGTCTTGCATGGACCCTAGTGTTGAGAGTTACCACCCAGTTTTTAAAGTGTCTCCAAACTCCAGTGCCAACACAGTTGTTTGTGTTTGCAGCTCTTACAAGATGCCCATAATAAATCAGTTACTGTCATCCATGTTCTTTGTTTAGGTAACTTTATGAAGAATACAGTTCAGTTTGATGGCACCTTGTGGTTTTGTAATGAAACCAGTAGAAGTGGAAATTCTGTATAACTTGATGCTGAGATAAGAGTTGCCATTGGATACAGGGTTTACCTTTTAGTTTTAAGTGACTGAAAAGGTTCAGGTATGTTTCAGATGGCTGAAATATTTGGACATTTAGGTAAAATCCTTCTTTTTGGTGTAAAGGGGTCATATAGCATGGGGAAAAGTGGACATACTGAAACAAAAGTGGTTATATGGGTAGACCGTGGTATTGTGACTGAATTTATTCCTGTAATCACGTTTAGGATGAGTGACTAATATGGCTCCAAAGCTACATTTCAGGGATATATATATATATATATATATATCCCCGATGCTAATACTTAGTCCTAATATTCTTCTATCATACTTTTCAGGATGGAGACCGTAACAGTGAAGATGAGGATGAGGATAAATACGCAGATGACATTGATATGCCTGGACAGAACTTTGATTCCAAGAGACGAATTACAGTCAGAAACCTGCGTATTCGTGAGGATACTGCCAAGGTAATATATATGAATGTTTGCAAAACTAACAAGCAAAACCGGTTTTATTTGTATGCTTTGGTATTGCTATCTTAATTTCTTTTTTGTCTTGATGTAGTACTTGAGGAATTTGAATCCAAACTCTGCATACTATGATCCCAAAACCAGAGCCATGAGAGAAAATCCGTATTCTGATGCAGGAAAGAATCCAGACGAGTATGTGCTAAAAGCTGTTGATCACACCACTGAGCTGCTGTACACTGTAGGGTGTTATCAAAATCTGGAGCAGTTGCCCATGGCAACCAATCAGCATCTCTTTTTAGTTTGCTCAGGTAAGATTTGAAAATAAGAGATGGAAGCTGATTGGTTGCAGTGCAATTCTGCTCCAGATTTTGTCTGCTCCCGTTTTGATAAATTCCCCCGTGTGTTTTAAAAACTGGGCATTGCACTGATATTTCAATGCATTTTCGCACACTCCTGTACAACTGAAATTTTATTTTGGAAAATTGTCAAAGATTTAGTTTTTAAATACAAAAAAAATTGCAGAACAAGGCCTCATGCACACTGGCACCTGGGGCCGCGCAGTGTAAAAAGCAGTCGTATTTTCCTGCCCGGGAGTCACCACTGCTGCATTCAGCCGCCATAGAAATCAATTAAAGGGTGCACTTGTATTTGGGCATATGCTGGTACTTGTGCACGAATGTACAACTCCGAACGCAGACTGTATACGTTCAGGGTTGTAAGTACGTGCCTATGCAAGCTTTGACGCAAGTACCTGTGTACAGCCGCTTCCTGTAACTGATCTCTCTGGGTGGCTATACGCTGCAGCTGTGGCTCCCAGGTGGTGAAGTACGCCTGATGTTTGTATTGTATGGCCTCAGGCACCTAAAATTGCAACAAATCATGTTCTTTAGTATACATTCAAAGCTAGAAATCTGACTGGTCCTCAGCAGTGATTATAGAGCACAATTGTATTTCATTTATTGAGCTACAATTTCGTATTTGAACAGCAGGTGGCGGTTTAGGTGAAAAAACTGAAAAGTATAAGTTATTGGTCTTTACATTACTTAAGTGTTTTTTGAAACCGTTAATTCTGTCATATTAGTAAACTTGGACTTTCTTTTCAGTGTCAGCTATGCTGGTGATAATTTTGTACGTTACTCTGGAGCCACAATTGCTATGGCACAGACACAGTGTAAGTAAAGTTACTATTTCAATCAATGTTCTTATTTAAAATGATACATGTTAGGGCTCATGTCAACAGGTGTTGTTTCCTATGATTGCCATGAATTTGGAATGCATCTCAAAGATACAGAGGGTATGGTTCACTCCAAACAGTGCAAATAGCCTAATTGAAGGCAGTGCTTTAGTGAATTACAGAGCGATGATACTGCTGCCCATAGTCTGCAAAGAAAAAAGAGCGTCAGCAGCATACTACCAGCTCAGTTTAGAGGCATTTAAGAGTCGCAATAAAAATAACAGCAGCAATGTTTCTGTCTGTGACTGTGATGTCAACGTCTGCCTGATGAAGGGGCTGTTATGTGCTTCGAAACATTGCTGTGATTTTTTTTTTGTGTCTAATAAATGGCTTTATACTGAGCTGGTGATTTGCTGGTGACACATTTTGCTTCTGAAATGCACCTTAAACAGAGGTCCCATTGGCTTTAATTGAGCGATAGACATGGCAATTCAGAGGTTGTGTTTGACCACCAGCTATGCATTGCTCTGAGTTTCTATGGAGGTTGTGTTTGACCTGCTATGCATTGCTCTGCGTTTCTTTGGAGGCAGCATGGAGGTTGTGTTTGAACTGCAGACAAAATCAGGTCAAATGTAGCCTTTTCTTGTCAGACTGCATTTGAATTGCAAACACATGGTTTGGAAATAAGGCCTGTCAGCATGAGGCCTTACTGAAGTTTGGGGGAATTAAACCTTTTCTGGTGTTTATAGTGGCAGCCAGTTTAACAAAATTGCCTATTGGTAGTGCAGGTTCTCTTCATATTCAGTCTGTTATCTGAGCATTACTATAGTGTTCGAGATAGAGTCATGTCATCTGCTAGCACATAGGAAGGATTGATTGATTCCATACTTCCATCCATACTGGTTTTACTGAAATTAGTCTACCTACCTTATCTATCCTCTCTTATCTATCCTCTCATCTATCCTTTTTTTTTTTTTTTTCACAGCATTTTTATCAGGAGAGTATGTAATGCCTAACACTTGTTCTGTATATATGTCAATGTTTCTTCTTGTGCAGTGTTCGCCTGGGAGGCCTATGAAAAAGGATCCGATGTCCATCTTCAGGCTGATCCCACCAAACTGGAAGTTTTATGCAAATCTTTTAAAGTAAAGAAGGAGGACTTCAAGGATGAACAGAAAAAGAGCATCCTGGAAAGAGTACGTTGCTTATATGGATTTTATATATATATATATATATATACTTTGCAGTTATTCCAAAATTTGTCATCAGTCG